ACAGCAAACAAGACGCAATGCATTCAGATAGGAAAGAACGCTCTGCGGCAGGATCAATCAGCACTCGAATCGTTCTTGACTTACCAGCTCAATTCTGAATTATAACGCTCGCTGTGGTCAGAAGAGCTCGACTACCGATGGACACTGCAAAGGTGAGAGCTGATCCTTCTGAAGTAGCCTGACTGTCAGCATCTGACTGAAGCGGTCTTTATTGAGCTGCTCCTTCTTACGAATTTCAAAACGCAACGCTGTATGTAACTCTCTAAGCTTTTCGCACAAATACAAATTATGTTTATTTTGGCAAAATACGCACGACAAATTTGAAGCATCCTGTGCTACATTGGCGACAATGGCTTGATCTTAAATTTTACTTATATTATATGGCTTCACATTTGATTGATTTCGCGCACTAATCTCACTCTACGAGTTTGATTGAGTTTGATTTATTGATCTGATTCGGTGCTCCAAAAACGATATCACATGTTTAAATTGAGAAAATTTGTCCTCATTCTCTTGGGACACGTTTCACGACTATTTTGTACTGGGATCATGTTTACGAACTATCCAATAAACAATAAAATGATTGCATTGTTTGATTGGCCAATCTGAATAAATAAGTGCTTGCATAGTTTCCTTAGCTCGATCAACGACTACCAAAAGATCCTCAACGATTTGTGCCCTTACCACAGGTAACTAAATTAAGTTTTCCGAATGGTTAACAAGACGCAGACGCCATTTATCGTACCGTCTCAACAAGCGCTCCCACGTGATCTCATAAATGGCTTCAACGACGGCTAAGCCTTTCAATCTTTGTGCAGCTGCTCCTTGCACCGAATTTAGCAAGTGCTGCAATTTTGCCACGCCCAAGAGACGCGTCTGCGACTTTATCACAGCCTCGAATCTCTGCTTAAAGCTCTCCCAGTCCTCTTGTCGACTGGAGAACGTGGATAGCAAAAGCGTCGATAGACAAAAACTCAACCCATCACATGGAGGATCTTCCTGCTGCGCAGTTGGATCAGTCGTCAGATTCGAAGATTTAACTTTTAATTCCCGAATTTTAACAATCAACTGCGCATGAGTATCCAAGTACGCATTTTCCGTACGAAGGTTAGCATCCCGAGCGAAATAATCATGTTGACCAAGTTCTGATTCGTATTCCAATGAAGCACAACGCTCGATGACAAATGTTGACTAATATTGCTCAAGTAACTGAGCGCACGATTCGAGATGATCTATTGTTAGTTTTGAAGGACCGGCTTTCTCAAATGTATTTTGTAAAAAATTAATGATCATGTAAGCGCGCTTTACTTTCTTAGCCATATGTTTCTCAGCCATTAAGATACCTCAAAATGCCTTACGAGTAGAAGCGATAATAACAATAATAAATCAATACGCTAAATAAATGACACTTAGTCGAGCGAAGATATAAGGAAAATGCCTTACGAATATCAGCAATAGTAACAAAGAAAAATAAATACGCTCGATAAACGACTCCTACGTAGCAATGATAAAATGAAATAATTAAAGACGAAATACAAAATAACAACAAGAGTTGTTCTGTATGTCGAATAGAATAAAGTGATAAGGTAAATAACAATGTGTCTCTTTGATGGTTCAGGATGGAGTGACTTTATTCCGTTTTCTTACATCTTGTCGATAGCCAGAGTGCCCATACAAGCATATACAGAGCATTATCAGTGTATACAAATATACTTACATATACACAGTTGTATATATACGCATTTTCTATGTGTATATAATATACGCATACACTACATCCTTCCCCCTTTTGTATTTTTTATATTTGTATTCCATAAATAATTGGTTTGAATTAATAATATTAATCATTACAGCAAATAGAATTAAGAGCTACGCAATGACGCTGGCTTCTTCGTTCTAGTCGAGCGTCTTACAAATTTCTCGGGTATTGGATTGTTTACACTTTCAACTTTCTCATTTCTGACCTCATGTGCATCTGTGCCTGCCCAAGCTTGCAATTGATCATAGTGTCTCTTGTGTGTACCCCCATCTTCGAATTCAACTATACTGCTACGAGGTGACAACTTTTTAACAATTCGAGCTTTTGATATAGGTGGATCATTTTTACGGAAGTCCTTAGCCATCACGCTGTCCCCCGTTTTAAATCTCACCTTTCTTCCCCCTTTGCAATTGTGAACTTGGTCATGCTGCTTAGTTTCGATGCATTCTCGAATATCTGGTCGAAGTAAATGCAACGGTGTGCGTATTTCTTGATTAAATAACAATTTTGCCGGTATTTCGCTAGTTGTTACATGTGCTGTCTTCCGGTACCCAAATAAAAATTGCCGTATTGCTATTTTTACACTTACATTTTCTCTGTTAACTATTGCTTTTAATTTCCTTTTAAAAGTTTTTACAAAATTTTCGGCGGCGCCGTTTGCTGCTGGATGATTCGGTGCAGTATATAAATGTTTGATACCTAATTTTTTAAAATAATTTTGGCGCAAATTCGGACATTGCCATTGGGCTTAAAAACCAGCACAATCGGTGTTGCCCACTCACTAGTTTCCACTGCCTTGATTATACCTTCGCAAACTAAACCTTCTAATTCTTTACTGACTTCCTCTTTGAGCAAAAATGGTATCGTGCAAGCCAGTTAATACTTCGGGCTATTGTTTTTTTTTAGTTGTAATTTGATTACACCTTTAGTAAATGATCCTTTCTTTCACGTAAATATTTCTCGGTATTTTTTAAAAATCTCTTTCAATTTTTGCGTCATATTTTTTTCTTTTTCAATTACATGAAATTTTATACCCGAATACAAAGGCCATAACTTGAGAGCTTTTAGCCACGGTCGACCTATGATAGGCGGACTTTCAGCATTTGATACGTATACATCTGATATTATTTTCATATTATCAGCTTCTATGCTTACGTACCGTAACATTCCGACAAATTTTGACACAGTGTTGTCATGATTCATGGCTTTAATGTCAGCGTTATACATCGTTATATTTTCAAAATGTTTTTCTTTGAAACTCATAGGTATAATGGATAGTGCCGCTCCCGAATCGATTTCCATTTTAATCTCTTTTCCATTTATTTTTACTTTCATAAATTGAGCATTTACTTCAATTTTTCCAGGAATATGTGCTTTCAAACAGTGTACATCGCGCGATTCAGTTTTCGTAAACATTTTATTTATTTCGTGAGTGACACTATCACTGTCGCTATAACTACTGTTAGTATTGCTCCCGTCGTGTGTGTTGACATATCCTACACGCTTATTGTTTGGTGCCACTACTTTATTTTCACGATGAAAACACACACGACCGAGGTGCCCGTGGCGATTACATACATTACAAATTTCTCTTCGATACTTACAGTCACGCGCTAAATGGTTTGCCTTGCCGCAACAATAACATAAGTACTCTGTTTGCTGTTTTGGTGTTGAATCCTGTTTTTGTGATGATTCTGGCCTCTGGGATTTCCTTTGGATCGTAGATTCTTGTTTTCCAATTTGTTGTTGTTCTCTGCTTTTTTGGTGCATGGAACCAAAGTTCCTTTTTATTGATGTATTAATTTAATGCATGTCTACATAACTAGGATCATTACTATTGCTGTTATTGGTTTTCACATTTTCGACTCCTTTATTTGCCGCTTCTGTTGCCAGTAATTTTTGCAGAGCCTCCTTCAATGTTGGTGCTTCTAATTTTAAAATCTCTGCTTTGCAGTCCAACTACTAGTTGATCGAGTACTTGCTCATCGAGATTGGTACTAAATTTACAGTCATTAGCTAAATTTTTCAGAGTCGCTACATATTCACTGACTGATTCATTATCTTTTTCATACGTTGTCGAAAATTCGACCAGTGCACCAAATACGAAACTGTTGGTTTCAGATAATCCTTCACTAGCTTCACTATTTCATCTTACATTTTTGCCCCAGGCTTCTCTGGCTTACAGATTTTGTCAATAACATCGTAGGTCTCGGCATTTACCTTGCTTGGTAAAATCGCTCTGTTTTTTCTTTGGTCTTCCACATTATTTGCTATGAAGTATTGCCCCATCCTGTCTATAAACTTTTCCCAATCATTTTCCTTAATGTCAAAATCTAAGTAAGATGAAATTTCCATTTTTGACTTCCTTCGAGTGTCGTTTTTTACCTCAGCTTCTTTTTGTTCTTCTTTAGCTTCAGTTTCTTCCTTTTCTAGTTCTTGTAAATCTTTCCAAGTTTTTACAACAATACTTGGATTATCTTTTGCACTTTTCATGAATTGCCGTAAAGCCTGCCGTAATTATTCTATGGTATTTTTCTCCAATGCAACTATGCCATTGGCTTCACAAACTTCAATTAATTGTTGTTTATTTAAGTTTTGGATCCACGATGTTTGACTCATTTAATCACGATTATATTCGTATACAGGTTTATCCTCGTCGCCACTGTTCTATATGTCGAATAGAATAAAGTTATAAGGTAAATAACAATGTGCCTCTTTGATGGTTCAGGATGGACTGACTTTATTCCGTTTCCTTACATCTTGTCGATAGTCAGAGTGCCCATACAAGCATATACAGAGCATTCTCAGTGTATAAAAATATACTTACATATTCGCAGTTGTATATTTACGCATTGTCTATGTGTATATAATATATAATACACTACAAGAGTATTATAAGCTTTTGTTAAGCCAGTAATTGTACTTAGCTTTTAAAATTCTCGAAGGCACTTGTTGATTGATGACCTCTTGACCTATGTTGCTCGTCGACAAATCCTTTCTACGCAAAACATAAACACGCTGTGTCGACCGCTGCGGCTGCTTGTTTTGTTATGGTCACAAACTGTGTACCAAGGCCTTGGGATATGATGCTTTTCTCATCAACAACAACCATGCCAACGGTTGACGCACAAAATGGCGCATATCAACGAATACCTGCGACAGCGATGCTCTTTTCAGTTATGGCTCAATCCCAAAATTTATTTCCTTTCTTTTTTACTATAAACCACGCTCTGCTACCAAAATGCAAACGCCTCCACTAATCAAGTTAGTTAATGAGATGAAGCAACGTGTTGTGGTATGATAATGAAGGATTGGAATACAGAATTTTGATAGAGCAAAACACAAATGATACATATATATATATTTAACTGACTGAGAGATTCATTAATTCACAAACAAAAAAAGAATATGATTATATGACGCAGTGCTTGGCCACTTATAAAAAAGAAACGTTCAATATTTAAATAAAGTTTGAAAACAGAAAATAACTACCTGCACTTGACCACTATTTCAACCTTACCGGTAAATTGACGTTTTTGCCAATGACAAGGCCCTTCGAATGCTAATGTTGATATTCCTGGCAATGGTCGATCCAATTCTCACGCCAGGGCACCGCCCACGACGATGAGGTTGGTTGTTACGTTGTTTTAAAATCAAGAAGCACAGGTCTGGTATGTTGAGGGCGGCTTTTCAACAATATACTATGCTGTTTGCCATGCGAGCCTCGTTGTACGCTCCATCAGTTAGCTTGGCTCCCTGAACTATTGTCTGAGCGAGATTTAGCTCTACTTAGCCCAAAACGCTACACACAAACTCTCACGCATAGGCTCTACAAGCTAGCCCTGCAACAACAGTATCTCTTCCACACGTCCACAATACGCATTTCAGTTATTTCGCGACACAGCGAAGATACCACACACACACACATACAAGAACAGCCATTTAAATCAAAGGTTAAGATTTTAAAAAAGCTGCCTGGGTACAGAAGACGATAGATACTACTACATAACTTTATTAACATTCACTTTCCTGCCACCTTTACCACAATCTCCTTGTTAATATCGACCTGCATTGCCTGCTAACTTCAAAATCTTAGCAGCCAAGTTTTCTATGAATGTGGTCACGTTAGCCAATGCTAAAGGAATACAAAGCTTTCAGCAGTATATTGCCGTTATTAATTGTGTAACAAGGTAAATCTGGCCTTCAGGGTCATGCTGCTCTCACTGACGCAAAGTGTATGACGTTACACCGGCAAAGGCTTACCTTCCCAGAATTGTTTTTTTGTTTTGGCTCCCAGAAAAAGGAGAAGAGGACGACGCGATGTTGAATACAGCAGCAACAACGGCGAAGGAAAAAAAATGAGCGCGCGCAGCACTGTTCGGGCCATAGCGGCGGCCCTCAGGTATAAGAGAGAAAGAGAGAAGAATGCGCCAAGATGTGTGCGCTGCGGTTGCAGTGGGACGGGCTGACTCAGTATCGAATCGAGAGCCATCGCGTCCGCTTATGGAAGCCAGAGGTTTTCCGATTTGAGAGAGAGCTAGAGAAAGCTGTTTTACAACGAGAGAGAGAGAGAAGAGAGAGCTGCTGTTGTCGGAGACCAGCACCGCAAGGAGACCCAGGACAAGAGAGAGAGAAAATCAGACCGCAGCCATCAGCCCAACGGACTCACCAGCAGCTCGAAGCCCAGCAGGACGCCATACACCCTTGTCACGAGTCAGAGAGCTGAGAGGTAGCGTATTTCTTTTCTCTTAGTTTATCGTGCATCGTGCTAGGGCTCGCGAGCGCCGGTAGGCCTCCTGGACGAGCTCCAGGAGTAGACAGAAGATAGGGAAAGAGAGATAGAGAGAGAGTGCGAGTGCGCGAGAGAGAGAGAGAGAGAGAGGGCCAGGTCACGAGAAGTCGTCGATGCATGCTTGGGAGTGCCGGATTTTGGGGTGTTCGCGCGTTTCCGCTCCAGGTGTGTATAAGCACTTGTGTGTCTCCCCTAGCTTAATAGCTAAGGGAGAGAGTGAGGAAGAGAGAGAGAGAGAGAGAGAGAGAAAACTGGGACTAGGGACAAAAGAGGACAAGGGTAAGGTTACCAGGAGACAGTGGGAGTGCGAGAGAGAGAGAGAGAGAGAGAGAGAGAGCGAAGAAAAATTTAAAAAGTCCGCTCACAGTTCGCGCAGCGAGGCGGAGCCGCTGTAGCGCCGTCGAGGAATTTATTTTTAGAGCAGTGTGAAGAGGTGTAATAAACAATTTTCTAAACTTAACATGATATCATTTGTCATATTTATTTCTCTAGGTAAAACGAGAGGAAATTTCCGTGCAAACTCCCATTTTCAGAAGCAAAATCCAGGAGGACGAGGGACCAGGAGGACGCATGAGACAAGGTATCCACATTCTACGTCCCCCTTTTTATTTTCAGGTACGAAGGCAGGATATTGTAAGAAAATAAGCACCTTGTTACATTTGTCACATGCATGCATTGTCAAAGTTTTTATGACATTGATTTATTCTAAAAATAAGAGATTCACATTATGTTTAGCTAAACATAGTAATTTTTTACTTCTTTATATGTAATATAATACAAGAATAATAGTACACCTAAAGGTTATAAGTATATTTCAATTAATTTGTTGTTTAAACATTTAAATACACCACTTAACCACAGCTTTGTAAATTGACAGAAACACTTACTAGCATGAATATAATATCTCACGTTTGAGAATTCTGTTGTTAAAGTCAACATTAGGAAACAATAAATACATCGATACAGAATCACAACCCTTACTGTTGGTGCTTAACATTTTTGGCACATAACCAACTCATGTATATACAATTTTTTTTATTTAGACTTAGGAATTTCATATGAATTTTTTGAGTGGAGAAACGGTGATTACGTCCCACTAAATGAGCATATTCATGTGCAGCAAATGAAGGTAAGTTATTTATTATGCTGAAAAAAAAAAAATGACATTTTAACTAGAAAGTTAGAAAAAATAAGATTGCAGAATAGAAAAATTGTGGAATGCAGAAAAGCAACTAATTCTATGAATAAAAGTACTAAGAACTACGAAAGAATAAATAGAAATAAGTAATAGATCGTTATAATCATATCCAAGATAATGTACAAATACGCTATTGTCATTTACTAAAGTTTTAAAACGCAGCAATCAAAGAAGTAAAATAAATACTGTTTGTATTTTAAAAAAACTGTTGAATTCCTTATAAATCACAGTTGACACTCATTATGTCTCTACAATATACAATATTAAAACTTTTTATCCAGATAGTGTATAGTAATTAACCTTAGAAAAAAAAATTATAGTTGTTTTACAAATTATAATTAACTAGCAGCCCCCCGTCTCGGCTTCGCCCGAGACTTACTGAATAAAACACCGTAGTGTGTTGACATGTAATGTGAAACATTTTAAGTTAGAAATTTTACACATATTCCTGATACATCTCAAAACAAAAATATTCTTATTGAAAACATACTTTTTCAGAATCCGTATAGTTTATTGGGTCAAATAATAAGGCGTAAAAATTAAAAAAAGTAATTATGCTGAAAATTACCGTGCGTTCTTTATGCCATAAAATAATCAGTGGCCATAAGAAGCCGTTGATTTACAGTTTCTCGCGTGTAATTCACGAAAACTCATATCTCACAACTTTATTACCAGAGCAACAAAGTCCTGGACCTTAAACCCTACATTTTTATTGCCACAAAAACACAAATACATTTTCTACTTATTTAAAAATCTAAAGTAGGATCTTTAAAGATTTCAGAGATTGCTGTGAGGGTACAATGAAAAGCTGATCTCTCACGTAATGGACTCTTTAGTTGTCGATTTTGACGCTGCTGTTCCAATCTCGATAAATTTTCTGCGTCAGTTTCTTGACGCCTAAGTAAAATTGTATTTATTAGATACATCTGAAGTTTTTCGTCCAATTCACCCTCTTGCGACTTTTGGCATGCTTAAAATTTGTGTGACCCCTAAAGGCTGTTTTCTGTCAACTTTGTTAAGTTCTAATATATTTGTTGGCAAGGTAGTTCGACGTCCGATGGCCCTAAAAAAGACCAGTGAGCTTTTTAAGTTAACTCTTTCTTGACTGCAGTTAACAGCAATTGTGACTGCCTGGATACCTCAGGGTCATATTTTCTGGCTTGCTGTTGAAGACCCAGACTGATTGGGAGAAAAATTACAAAGTCCGAAGCTTTGGGGCTAGTTGTAGTGCTCTTTCCCAACGTCTCCCGGTATAACGTCGAAGATGTTGGTGTCTAAAGCACCTTTTTTATATGCAGATTCAGTTCATTTTGGTGATCTTAGATGGGGAGATTGGTTAGTGATACTTGTCCAGTGGAGGCTGTCCCATTGGCTCAAGTTTTTTTTCCTTCATAGCTGTTATAGGTTTGCCCAACGCAGACCTTGGAGAGGATTAGTGATTCCTGGTTAAATGCTTAGAGTCGAGAGGGTAGTATAGGGTCGTTGGTCACCGGGTTTTCCAGCCTTGCGAAGAACAACTCCGCAGGTGACGTCTGCTAGTGAATGGCTGACTTGGTTTAATAGTGCCCGTCTTTAGTTAATATAGTCTTTTAGTCGACGAATCGCTTCCGGAAATGGTAATAAAAATGTAGTTGTTGGCAAGGTAGTTGACACTTAGGTGGATCCTAAAAAGAACCGATTAAATTGATGGTTAAGTAGGGAACGCAAATACTTATAATGGCGCTAAAAAGCGCCAGTGGTGAAACTTCCAGGCTATTCTTATTCCTGATGATAAAGAGCTGGCTACGGTTGCTTGATTCTTACCCTGGGAGTCTCTATGTACGGAGACTGTGATGGAGGGAGGTACGCTGCTGTTCAAGGATATCTCATCTTTGGGTCGTTCCTCGGATAACCAACCGCTGATCGTTAGATAAGAACATGTAGGTAAGCATGTTGGGGACACGACGACTAAGAAGGTAGCCGTTGTGGCTGCCCGTGCCCCTCAGAGCTGTTGTCCCTTGCTTACATTTGTAGCCACAAATTCTCTAACTGCACCAGGTGGGATGGTGGGACTACTCCTTCACAACTCTGATGAGTTGAACCAGATTGTGCTCTGGCTAGATATGTCTCCGGGTATTGAGGCAGAGACGGCATCGGTTGGAATTAATTTTTTTTATTTGATCGCACTCGTCGAGAATCAGGGTGAATGGACACCTAGGTCCCGTCCCCCTTAGAGAAGAGTGTAGTCCGTAACCGGGATACCCAGCTGCAAGACTATCATCAGCATTCTCTATATAGCTCGTTGAAATGCCGAAGCTCGACTACAACAGTACGGAGACGCTCCAGCCTATTATAACCACACTTATTTAATTATGTTGCAGGTAGCTTCGATTTTATGTCGACGCCACCTAGCGGATTTTACTGAACTAAAGTGAAAAGCTGACGTATTTTTGCAAAACTTTGAGCTCATTTGTTGCTATTGTTATTAAATTTCTTAAGATGAAAACTATACTAAAACCATCTAGGAAGTATCATGAATCAGTGTGCAAAATTTCAACAAAATTGGTTCCGTAGTTTTCGCGGTTAGCGATTACAACGGTTTTAGCGCTTCTGCTTTATATATTAGTCAGATATGTTTTTTGATAAACTACTCTAATAAGACTATTCTAGATGTTTTATTTAATTTTTAATTGATTTAAACAAGTATTCAGAGATTTTGAAACCTAATTGAAAGAAATTACGTCTCTTACACTATTAAGGTCTTGAAAATACGGCTTAATTTAGTATTGTTACGTAGAAAGTTCTATTATTGGTTATGAAGACTGAGTAATCAAATTGAGAGATAGATTTTGAAAAAATAATATTTAGAAAAGGTCGGTCGTGAAGTAAAGTTTGGCTATGATATTCCCAAGAAAACTTATTACATGTGCATCATGTCACATACGTTCTTGCAATAGCAGAAGTTTTGTTGATTAATATTTACTGTACTGACTACTTAGCAAACTAAAAATAAAATTAGATTTATATTTATGTGTGGAAACAAGACCTATTATAAATATTATCTTATAATGATGAAAAAAAAAAAGGACGAAAGCGTTCATTAATTGTTTTGGTAATCAAGGAAGGCATTATCAAGTTTATCAAACACATAATGCAAAGATTGAAATAAACAAACAGCTAAACATGAAATGCCAAAGGCAAACATAGAATTCGAACAGTAATGATAGTTAGTGTACCATGTGTTAATATACAGAAAATTATTTGTCATGTAGCTAAGATATCACATAATAATAAAGATTTTTTAGAAAAGTCAAGTACCAACTTGGTTTCTGTTTTAATTAATAAAAACAATAAAAAAAAAGAAAATGTCATATAAGAAATAGAAAAAAAGTCTTATCAGACTTAATCAAAATAAAGCAAGCAATAACTTTAAAGATAAGGTTACTTTTTTTACTAATATAAAAAGCAAAGTCACTAAAACCGTTGTAATCGCTAACCGCAAAAACTACTGAGTTGATTTTGCTGAAATTATGCGTACTGATTTTGAACTATTTCGGGATGGTTTTCGCATAGTTTTTTTCTTAAAAAGTTAAATAACAATAGCTATAAATAAGCTCAAAGTTTTGCTAAAATAGGCTACCTTTGCGCTTTAGCTCAGTAGGATCCGCTAAGTGGCGTCAATGTAAAATTGAAGCCACCCACAATCAAACATAGTGAAAAGTGGTTATAAGATGCCTCATGAAGATGTCAATTATCGTATTTGTTCATCGGCAGTATACCAAGAACAAAGTTGTTACTCGTGCAGCTGAGCATCCTGACTACAAATGACACCCTTCTGTCGAGGACAAACGGAATAAATTGGTTTTTATCCCAGATTGCCGAGACAACAGAGTGCCACGGCAAAATAGGCGTTTGGAATGTCAACATCTCCGAAAGAATACCAGGAGACGTGTCAAGCTCGATTACAAACTGCTTCGACGCTTTAGAATTTCGTGGCTGTTTAACCATATGGCCTACAAAGTGCCGTTAGAGAACTTTTCACTTCGAATGTAAGCTAGAGAAGACAGCCCTAAGAAGTACGATCAACCACAACGGCCTTCTTCTTAGTGGTCGTCCCGACAGCATACCTACAGAGAAGGTATTCTCCAGGCCAACTTTCCCAACTAAAGATGAGTGGTTAATTATCCGGTAAACGACCTGAAAACAAGATATTCTCTGGTTAGTGGCATATCTTCCCCCAGTACGGTCTCCGTACACAGAGACTCCAAGGATAAGAGTGAAGCTACTTGCAGTTGGCTCTTCACTATCAATAATAATAAGGAATAACTGGAAAGCTTCCCACTGAATCTCTTCAGGACTATTATGAATATTTATGTTCCCCACTTAACCATCAATCTCATCGGTTCTTTTAAGGGCCAAACAGAAATGAAACATTTTTGAGTTAACAAGTTAAAGTGTGATTTAAATCACTCAGTTCAATCAGTCCTTGACATGACTTCCATTAAAATTTCCACAGTTTTGTTAGAGTAAGTAATTAACCTGAAGGGAAGAAAGGGGAGTTGTAAAGCAAGGGAAGTCTGAAAGGAGAATGGGAGAGAGAGAAAGAGAACGGAAGAAAGGGGGGAGAGGCCGAGAAAAAGGCTCGTGCTGGCCAAGGAATCAGTCACTGTACATCAGTGTGGGAGAGTACCTCGGCCTGCTGTTCACGGAGCTACTCTCTAACATGGTCGAATAACCTCACGGCTTGCTGCTAACAAGGAGCTGACCTCCAACTACGCTTGCCTTGCGGACGGGCTGTCCTCGTCCCCATCTACTACAGTAGCTGTTCTCCAGTTGACCACGAGCTGTTCTCCAGTCGACCACGAGCTGTTTCCTAGTCGACCACGAGCTGTTTTCTAGTCAACCATGAGCAGTTTTCTAGTCAACTACGAGCTTTACTCTAACCTAGAGCTGCTGATCCACGATGTCACAGGTATTTAGTGCAGCAAGGCGAATTGTGCCGCGACCTAAGTGTATACGCTAATTTACCTAGCCTTAGTAATTACATCAGTGTTTTACATAACAATTGCGAGTCGCATCACGCAAAAGCCGTTCGCGCTGCTGAATGTTTGTGTGTGGCATTGTGTGTAGACTTGCGGTGAACTGCGTACAATTATCTGCGTGTGCGTTGCCTGTCGTTTCTTTGAATTGGAACGAGACTTCCAGTGTTGCTCCAACCGTGTGTACATCAGCCTAACGTACGAGTTAGGGCTTTGATTCCTTTGTACACTGTTGTGCATGCATTTGTCTAACCTATAACTATCCTTACAAGCGTATCATGCCTGCTCGTCAATTAAGTTGAAATCTGTTATTGTGTGTTGTTTGCTCAGGCATATGTGAAGCGGCGTTTACTTAATGTTAACCACCATTGTCCTCGCTTGAGTAATTAGAAAATATATTTCAGATACACATCAACTTTGTCCTTTTTTTATACATCCTGACATCATTGTTAGTACTTAATCTTTAAAGTATTTAAAATTGGAAGTTTAACCATCAAGTCCTATGGAATCAGAAAAAAGAAATTAAGTGAAGAATAGTACTTTATATGGAAAACTGTGAGATCTGATATCTACTAAGTTCAGAAAGGTTAAAAAAAACTTGATTTTGAGTTCTAAAGTTAATTTGAATAATGGAAAAACTAGGAAGAAAAAGTGTTTAATAATGTTTCAAAGACAAAAAAATATGAAAAACGAGAAATACGTCGCATTATTTGTAACAATATTTAATATACGTCGTATATTGTACCATGCAAAGATATGAGTTTAATAATTGATTAAAAGAAAAAACCAATATGATGTGAACGATTTGTAAATAACTTGGTGAATCATATGAAAAAAGCTGCGTTGAAATTAAAAATATTTAGGGAAGTGAGGCACAGCCAATTAATTTTGTCAATCTTATTTCTTTTGAGTCTAATTTTGTTAATGCCATCATCGATAAGACTTGCACCCATATTCGAATTTATAATAGCTTGAGGGGGGACATGTAAGGTCACAAATGTGTTTTATTTGATTTTTTATTAAAATATTTAAATATACCACTAACACAAGGTTATCATAAGTTCGAATCTACGTGCCTTTAAGAAATGTGAAAGTACTTTAATACTTTAACGTATATTATGAAGATATACCTCATACTAGAGCTCGCAACTGATCTATCTGAGCCACCTAATTAAAGCCGCTGACACTACTACTCCTCTAAGCGGTTTAAATGGTCTTGCCAGCTTGTGTAAATTACTTTAACCTTTAGCAATGAGTTTTGCACTTAGTCTACTGAGCTTTGCTTTTTAAAGAGCTGTTATGCATTCCTTTGATACCAGAATTAAAGGCGATATCATATTTTTCTATTAAATTATCACTCTTTACATTAAACCTTTTACATTATAAACTACCCTGGCATCACTGGTAATGAAGAGACTTTTGTAGTTTTCTTAATTTCTTCATTTAGTAGTGGCTACTCTACAACGTTAGCGAGGTAAAGAGAAGATCTCTGGAACAGTGTATACGGGAGCTATAATCTAGGTGAGGTGGTTGGTGAACTGGTGGATTGTCAGGCCAGTACGAACTTAAGCAGTCCTGGACCATTGGCAAATTACCAAATCTAAAGGTAGCATAAGAAAGTAGGTACTCTTTACATACTGGCGTGAATAATTCTGAGGACGTGTGTACCATGAGTCAGGATCATAGCGAATCAGACGACATTCCTACATACTCCCACTAAGGTTTATTGTAATACATGTTAGAAGCACTGCGAATCCAGCACTGTACTTACGAGCTCCAATTACCTACCATCTTTTTAAGGGGTGGAACCCAGAAATACTAACATACTTAAATAGACAACGTTATGTATGAGATTTCTAGTAAAAAAGTATAAATTAAATGTGCATTATTATGTTTATGTGTTTTCACGATTCTCTCAGAATTTTAATGTAGATAAATTTGAATCTCAATCCTGGATGGCCTCTTTGATTTGTGAATAACGAAGGCATAAGTATTTGTGTCAATCAAATGGTAAAGGTGAGTATGAACAAAAATTATGCAATGTGTTTGTACAGAAATAACCAGTACTGATCATGAAAAAGTAAATATCTTCAGAAGATTTGAAAAACACAACGCAGCATTTAGTTACCCAAGTACCATAATTGAGCAGCATCTTAAGTTAAACAATTATATTCTAATGCAAAAAACTTGTTAATTAGGCATTTCACTTCATTGTACAAAATAAAAGTTCTTTGATCCAGATGCTACGTCTAAATTTTATACAAATTATGCCCAGAAATTGGACAGTATCAGGTCTTCGTTACTATTCAAGTCTAGGGTTAAAATGTATTATTACACAAAGCCGTCTTAGATGTTTCTGTTCGGAAAGACCTAATACATTGTTTTAATATGACCAAGAATGATTTTTTTTTTAAATTTAATAGCAGGAAGAAAACAGTTCCTTTAACGTTTCCCTCTGCTCAAAATCGATACAAAAAAAAGATATCACTACGGTATTTTGTAAATAAATAAGTATATTTCAGTATTTCTAGTGAAAAACCGGAAGACGTATAAAGTGAATAATGCAAGAAATTTCTCACTTATGTATTAAGTTATTTCAATTTAAATCATTGTTACAGCATGGACGAATAGGCATTATAAAATACTTGAACATAAATAAGATGTTATTTTACAATAAACGTGTATCAAAACATTATAAATCAGACATTATTACAGGAGTTTATAGATAAAAAATCAATAAACTTCATTTTCTGATAATTATGGATACAAAAGGCAATAAGAATTTTGTTGCTAATTTTTTAGCTTTTATTTAAAAAACTTGAATGTATTATTTTGTAGACTTGTCGTAAGGAAAAAAAAATGGCTTTTAGTTAATTCAGTAGAACTTTTAATAGTAATAATAGTATCATTGATAACACTTATAACAATAATAATAACAACAACAGTATTAATAAAAAAAGAACTGATAGTAATCATAAGAATCACAATAATAATAAGAATGACACAAGGTAACGATTATTAAAATAGTAAGCAAGGACTAGATGTAGTAAAACTACTTTAGGTATAATTATACTGCTTTTCCTTAGACTTTTGTGATGTATGAAATAAAAAAAGAAAGTATAAGGGTTCCTACTTTATTTTTGTACACAGCAAGAATAACTTTAGCATAAGTAATTTTTTCCAATAGTTTATACTCATGAAAAGTGTAAATTAATATTGTCAATTATAATAGGTATTTCTATAACTTCTTTTTTAGAAAAAGCTCTTGCTTCTTTATTTGTGCACTTTAGAAAGTGCATTTAATTAGGCATTTAACTGACACAACAAAAGAAATCTCTATCTTGCAAACATAATCAGATATGAGACTACATTTTTAAGTGTCTTCTTCTTTTGACGTATATTCCTCTTTGTCTATATTATGTTTTTATCCTGTTCTAAAAGGTATACTAACTTAACTTACGTACTATTTTTGTAGTGCATCCAATTGTTAATGAAAACTTTATTTCTATCATAAGTGCGAAGTGTAAAAATGCATATCATATCATTTTACACGTCATGCACTGAAACTTTTTATTTATAAATAAAAATCATATTGGTCAGGACATATAAAAACGTAAAGCTTGTATCCTCCAAATTGCAAAAAAAAACAGTTATATTTTGTATTTTATCTAACGAGAAGTTTTTTAAACTAAGAAGGAAATTCAAATTCTTATACGCCCAGAAACGAAGTCATATATAACACGAACTGGTATTGGTATTTCAGGACTTACAAGTTATTGACTCTAGCCACTATCAATTTTCTGGAGTAAATATGACTGGAGTTCGATTAATTGGAAATAATAATTATATACCTAATATCCATAATGTCCAAACACATCAAGAATCAAATGAATTTGCAATTCGTGTTGAGACAGCATTAATTGTTGATGCAACGACCATTTTTTTTGAAGGATACCAACGCTTACAGTATGCTACAAACGGAGAGTCAAAGCCAATTTTATGCAATTCTAATGAAAATTGGGAATATGGAATAAGTTTAAGTAATTTTCTAAAATCGGTAAGTTTTAAAAACATTTTTGATCTGACAGTCAAGTATTAAACATATTCTTCTAACAGAACTTAATGCATAAGTAACTAAAAAAATACTGCTTAATTAAAGTTTGTATTAGAAAATATTAGAATTATTAAAGTTATACTTCTATAAGTGCTTTTTTCTCTACGGAGTAAATCAACGATTTTAGATTGGTGACCTTCAGAAAAAGAGTAGCGGAAGTGGATTTTTCTTTTATTCTTCCCCTTTTCCCCACCCTTTGACGTACTTCTGGTCCCTAGTACTACACCACACAACGTTATAAGCACAGTTTTCAAAGAGATTTGAACCCCTTCCTCTATCACACTGGGCAAGCTCCTTACCCACTCTACTGTGAGCCGGCCCGACAATGAAAAACCGATTACTTAACTTTATATTACAGTTTGTAACATATTTTTAATATAAGTTCTCACTTCTTTTGGTTGAATTATAGATTTTATAAATAAATAATTTATTTAGTATAGTACATATTTCGGTATTCGTTTTTTTCAAAAATCTGGAAATTAGTTTATATTGGAAGAGCAGCTTTCCTGTCTATTAATAAACATTTATTAACTTATAAATTACTTGTTTGCTTTAAAATAAGTAAATAATTTTTTATACAATTTTTCACATTTTTCCATAATTTTCATATCTGAAAAAAAAACTTTTGTTACTGTATAAATTTAATAATTAATTTTCATTACGATTTCATCTTTCACAAAACTTTCTTTGTGGTTGAGAACAAAATATAGAAAAGCGGGAGGAGCGCAAATATACGCTTTACCTCTGGGAATTGTTCTCTTGTATTGATCAGGTTACATAGACGCTTTTACACGTACTTGACTATTACTTTCTGGTGTTATTAAAAAAAAAAAAAAAAAAATAGATCTTCTTAAAAATAAAACAAAATTATCTGAAAGAAGTCTATCATATAAAACAAAATTGTAGGGTTTAGACAGATCTTACGAATGTTATTTTATGTAATTTTTCTGTAAGGTTACATGTTGACTTGCAAATTTTTAAAATTAAACATGTAAAAGAGGGTGCACCTGAATAATCTGCAATTTTTTTTTGGTATTTCTTATGGTATTCTCAGGATACTTTTGATGATTTAATAGTATCTGTCATAAAAACCCATGTGTGATGAACTTTCTGAAAAGACATCGTTTATATTGCATTGTGCCATAATATACTGTTTATAATGTTTCAGTTATCAAGTATTAAGAAATTTATTGAATCTGCATCCAACTAATGTAAGTATATTTATTTCAACGATAATTGCACCACCTTTGTACACAATATCGTTTCATAGAATGTATATTTATATTCATAATTATATTATTTGCTACATAATTTTGTAGAAGTATAACTTTTAACTTAGGTATTCAAGCAGCCACTGTCCACTATTCTTTTTGTATTATTGGATATACCATTTAATTGTTAATTCTCAACAAAAAAAAATTTTAAGCAACAGCTCTTTTCTTTTTAATTGACTACTAACATACTCAATCTCCTACCAAGTTATAAGTAGACAGTCAGATAAAATTAAAATTTTTATTCATGAATGTTTTATCCATTGCTTATTTGGACTTAGAATCCTCAACGTATCAACTTTGAATTGACTTAAAAACATGTTGATTAAACTTATACTATTTTAAATGTAACTTTCCAGTATAAAGTGGGTCAGCAATAGCTTACAGATGTAAAAGAGCTTTAAACGCTTTTTAATGGACCTATTGGTAAGTTTTGATAAATCCTTATTTTATTGTTCAAATATTTAATGTATTATGAGCCAGGTAACTTCAGTATTCGTAAATAAAACGGGAGTAAAAAAAAAGTAAATTGAATTAATGTTTGGATAGTTTTAGTTTGTTACCCATCAACCTGGATTTAGCTTATAAAAAAAGGAGATATGTGCAGAATTTCTTTTATTCTGCGGAAAAAATAGATATTACTGTACAGCTAACTTGAGGAAATGTAGTTCAATTAATAGTCGCACCTAATATACCTTAACATATATCACCTTGACAGTACTACGGCAGTTCCACTTAGCCACGTGAGCTAGGAGCGCACGTCTTGAGTTGTATAACAAGAAGGAGTCTCTACACTGTCACACATGTGGCAACGTCTCTTACACTCTCACACCTATACGTACGTCGTACACTTTTAATTCCTATTCTACCTCCGTGGCTCTCTCTCTCTATCTCCTATCTTAGTTTAATTGCTTGACATGCTTCTTTAAGTGTGTAGGATCTGCGCTCCAACTGTAAAGTACATTATTTTTGTAACTGGTTCAAACAAGCAGCTTATGCTCTTATTAAGGCTTTTTTGGGCTTTCAGCCATAAGCTGAAGGAACCCTACTCTATTTCAGTCTTTTTTTGCTTGTCTTTCTATCTTTCTGTCTCTACCTTTCTCTTTCGACTTCTCTCTTTTGTTCTTGAAAAATGTGGAAAATGCTTGGAAGTGTATGCCACGTGTAAATGCGGAAACTAGTTCACTCTGTGCTGCGGAAAATACCATGTGGTAAAGCTGAGTTGCAACATAAATCTCTCAGTCTTTCATTGTTAGCAATGCTTTTTTAAATGCCAAATTATTAAGCAAATATAGATAAACTTACTATGGTGTATAATAGTCACGGAGAAATGCGTTACTTTTGTTTCAGCCACATTAACGTGCAAGAAGTTAGCACATATATTAAAAGCGTTCTTACGTGGTACTAACCAATAAGCTTAACGTTATTGTTGCAAATGAGAGCTGTTTTAAATAGCATTCATTGAAGAGCAGATTTCTCATTCCGGAATACAAAATATATAAAATTAGTCACAAGAGACGGCAGGATAGCGCTTTATGTACTCTCCTCTACTTTATGTAAGTATTACGTATACCTTTAATCATCGTGGGCAGCACTAAAAAAAGCAGGAAATCTTTAGGCTTAAAGTAGTTGTCTGTAGTAAAAAGCCTCTTTTTTAAATGGTCTATTACTTATTACAAATTGGCTACTGGTCCTCATTATGACGTTGTTACTTGGGGTACAATGGAGTAATACTTTTGGGAGACTTAAACATTGACTTGCCCATGGAGTCTACTCAATGGAATATCCTGCACTATTCCTTGACTCCGTTTGGCCTTAGTATTGTATCACTTAATTTAATACTTGCTTGGGGAGACTGCTTACAAACTGACACGACCCAGTACGAGGCATATTGTACTACTACCTGATTGCATCAAATTTAGCTTCAAATGTGCTTAACGGTGGTCCAAGTCACATAAATATCAATGAAAGATTGATGAACACACATCAACTATTCTTTTTCTTTATATTTATGAGACATTAGCATCTACGGAACTCTTAAAGCTTAAATCACTAAGACTTTAATGTAACGCTTACATAAAAAGTGAGGTTACGTTATTTAACAACAGTGTTTATCCGATCTCTTACCAGAAATCATAAGAAAATGCAAATTTTAATATTTTATAGAAAATTCATAGCCGTAAAAACATACGTCGCATCAATGTAACCGCATAACCATAGTACTTTATAAATTTGACGACAACTATTTTTTATTAAAAAGTGCCTATATTGTGCCTCTAACATTGATGCCTTTAATTTTTAATACTTATCAGTGTACCAATCCTGAATCTCGTCTTTCATAAATTTTCGTTTAAACTTATTTTTGATGCAATAAATTAATGTACTTATTCAGTACTTTAGAAAAAAATTGCTTATTCTTATATACATCCTTACAACTTCATGTGTAAAAAGTTTAAGTAAGAAACTATAAAGTGCAAAATGGGCTTTGTAATAGGGAGACGATAATAGACACAGTAACAGTCTTGGGGCTTGATAATTGAGCCAAACAAAAAATTTGTGTTTAAATACTTATCGCAAATTTTATAACTTAAAAAAATAAATACTGACAGTAAGTAAGGTAAGCTATTGATATCGATTAAAATCGGAATAAATGAATTCAGTATCAATGTAATGTTATGAAAGTTTTTGAGAAGACTTTTTAGACTGTCTATAAAAAGGCCCCCTGTCTCTGCATGCAATTATAAATACTATTCACTTATATCTCCTATTCTTATAACTTTTGCTGATTCTTATATTCCTTCTGGTTAAAAATAGAAAGAATGTTTTAACTAAATTCTTGTCCCACGATTAATAACGTACTTGGTGAGAAGAATTTTTTCCTGGAATTTAATCGAGAATCACATACTCTAACCGTTTAATTAGGATAAAACGTAATTTTTGTTCGTTTGCATAACATATTTTTATTTAGTTTAATATATGTGATGATTATTCACCGATCCACAAGGAAATATCAGTGGAAATACTTTTGTGATATTGAAAATGAGATATACGTATCTCGAAATTCTCCAATTAGGATATGTTCGATTTTAGTTTCAGCCTGAAAATGTATTTACCGTGAAGTTGGCTGCAAGTAAAATTTGTCTTGCTTCAAACAGATAGATAAATAGAATTGCTATTATTGTGTAGCTAATAAAAGTTGGCTGTAATTGTATATATGTGCACTTTATTCGCAGAAGCAGACAAATCGTCTTGTGCCTACTACAGTGGCTTTGGTTTTGTTGTTTAAGATTAATGTGATCATACTTATTATAGAATTAGTAAGCGTCATTATTTAATGACAAATGTATATACAGCTGATGGTGTCTAGAGTCAGACAGCTGCTGCCAGAGGTGTGTAAGATATTCAATTGTGAAATGCGAGCTTTTTGAGAAAAAAGGTGTACGACGGAAAGTGTATTTAAAAAAGAATCTTTGTAGGAATTAATGGGCTTGTAGTCTTACTGTGAAGAAAATTTTTTACGTAAAAGATTCTGTCACAGTCTACATAAGGAGCAAATGTGTCAAAAATTTAGCTAACAATAACATTGATGCTGATCATACCTTCACAATAAACAACAAGAAGAGTTGATAAGTATTCTTAAGAAATATTTTTTTTTTCTTTTCATGCTGAAAA